AATTTAATGACTAGCAACAATTGGAATGGTTTCTCATTAAAATGAAAACAATCTATCTATTTTGTTGAAATATCGATTTAAGTTCGCTGCATAAGAACAAAATGAGAATTTTATTCGGTTTAATCGTATACACACCTGATTTTGAACATTTATCACTAGTTCAGAGTCTGTGAACAGTGTTTTTGTACACAATATAAATTGCAAAGTATAAACACCAAAGATGAATTTAATAATACACAAAAAACACATCTTTTCTACAGTTGTATTGGCTCATTCCGCATTGAAATTGTGACGAAATATTTGTTCAAATAATTCATCCATCGTGTGTTATTGAGCATTTAGAAAATTTTGCCATTATTTCGAATGAACCACCAGGCACTTCCGATAAACAAAACTGTTGAAGAACACCATTTATTTACTGCGATAAGAGAATACACCGAATTATTATTATAATTGATATAGCTTCAATGTAAATAAAACATTACACACTTTATTACTGTCTTTGAAATTAATACTTTAAAAATGACATTTCGATTCACCTTTCTGCAAAGTGATACAGATTTTTTTTTTTTTAATTTTTCATTTTGCACTTCCATTTACACAAATAGATGCACATGAACTGTCATTCGAAGAGCAATGTAAATCAACAAAAGCGAAAATGTTCGTGCACTCACGTAGACAATCATATTCACACTGTCATACGTTGTATGTCACATATGGCCAAGAAGTAATGTAGGATATATTACAAAGTAATGGAAATGTGTTGCTATCTTCACGGCATACATCTATCCCAGGCAGCAACGATGAAACTATGTTACATCGTATTATGTCGTTAGAACTTTTGGCAATTGCGACACTTTCTATTTTTAAAAAGAAAACAACAGTTAATTTTGATTTTCGAACTAGAGGTTACGGACTGAGTACATGAAATACGGATTGAGTGTCGCTAATTCCATAAATTTGTGGAAAATTTCCATATCCTCAATTTATTCAAAAAGTCAAGTGTTATCCAATACATGAGTATATAAAATTGCAAATATAATCGCGTGTATTTATTCGTCTGATTTCAAGGTGATTGCAATTTTAACCTGATTGCTGGTCTTTTCTTTAAAAACGTACAAAAACATGAAAAAAAAAAACTGGATAATATTTTCTTAATATTTTCAAAATAACATAAAGTCAATTTGAGTTTGGAGTCGATTTTCAGAGTTTATTATCAATTTGTTTGTTGCGCTAACAAAAACAAAATCGAAAAAAACAATATCGTCAGCACTTTATTTACTTCCACCGAGCATTATTTCTATTATTTATACGCGTTGATTGTTCATAATAAACAACATAAAAAATATAACTGTTCTTGCGCTTGTCCAGAACGTATTTGCATTCAATTTGTTCAGTTTACAACACAATTGCCATAACGACGGAATAAATAAGTGTACCGTGCTAAAGCTGTTCGAATGATGTCGTTTTCATAAGTAAATGTCCAAGTAAATTGAAAAATTTGTGAGTAGAGTGTGAATAAGATCTATTCTTCGATAATAAGTATTTACCAAAAAAAAAATCACATGTTGTTAAATGAGTTCATGGTTAGCACTGGGCAAATAAGAACAACATCAAAGTTCGGTAATAGCAATAAGAAAAGGGAAAAAATCAATTGAAATGACGCATTGATAAGAAAATGTGAAAGGTATCAAAAATTATTTGTGAAAAATTAATATCAGCAAAAAAGGTGTGAAAGATTAATAACAACAAATCAATAATACCAGATAAATGGCAGAAAATAAATAAATGCCGTTTCATAAGAAATTCGTACATAAGAAAAAGAAGTAAATCGATAAAATTGTGTCGTAAAATCAATTTTGACAAGAGATTAAAAAGGATTTTATATTCGCAGTTGAAATTTTCTACAAATGGTGCAGCATTTCGCTGTCATATTTAAATGCCTTATTTATATTTTATATGACGGAACAATTTTATGACAAATTCTTTCGATATTTGCATTCGAACGCTTGAAATGCATGCAATCAACTCGCCCATGACGAAGTGATTAAATATTCAATTTTTCCAAACCGAAGTAAACTTTGTCATTGGAAAATTAGTTTACAACACCACATTCGTTATTTGCTAGTAAAAATCGAAATAGTTTTGTTCGAATGTTTTTTTTTTTTTTTTCAATTTTAGACTTTTAGTGTGTGCATCGGGCAAACGGTCATCGAAATTAGCCTATAAAACGAACGAAAAAACACAAAAAAATGATAGTGCTTGAAGGAAGTTTGGGACTGTAAATTTTTTGGATTTTCAAACAGTATCGAAATGAATCGCTACGTAATATTATCGCCATTAGGTGATGGAACGTATGGCACGGTGATGCTTGGCCAACGCAAAGATACTGGCGAAAAAGTGGCGATAAAACGAATGAAGCGAAAGTATTATTCATGGGATGAAGCAATGAGCTTGAGAGAAGTTAAGGTTAGTTAAAAGACAATTTAAATTTAACGTTGGTATTAATCACCACATATCTTAACTGTTTTAGTCCTTGAAAAAACTTTCACATGCCAATATAATTAAACTGAAAGAGGTTATACGGGAAAATGATATTTTATACTTTGTATTCGAGCATATGAAGGAGAATTTATATCAATTGATTAAAGAACGTGACTCACATTTTCCCGAAGGAGCCATTCGTAATATTATGTTTCAGGTAATAATGCTTCAGGTGATTTTCCATAACAACTATTTAATAAAAAATGTTTAAACATGCGTTTGTGTTTAGGTATTAAGTGGACTCGCATTTATGCACCGCCATGGTTTTTTTCATCGGGATCTAAAACCCGAAAATCTTCTATGCTGTGGCCCAGAACTGATTAAAATTGCCGATTTTGGCTTGGCCCGGGAAATCCGCTCTCGCCCACCATACACCGATTACGTTTCGACTAGATGGTATAGAGCTCCAGAAGTAAATAACTTGACCTTACTCTCATTTCAAGCGAAAAGAAATTAATCGTTTTGTTTTCTTAAGGTTTTATTACACTCAACTCGATATGGCAGTGGAATAGATATGTGGGCGATGGGTTGCATTCTGGCTGAATTGTATACATTTCGACCTCTATTTCCTGGTAGCAGTGAGGTTGATCAACTTTTTAAAATTTGTTCCGTCTTGGGAACGCCAGAAAAGGTACGACGAACTACTGTACTAAATAAAATTTTCAAATCTAACGAACTTTAGATAATAATAAGAAAATCCATTGCAGACTAATTGGCCAGATGGTTATCGATTGGCAACGGCTATACAGTTTCGTTTCCCTGAGTGTCAAAAAGTTGATTTTGCGGCTTTAATTCCACGAGCAACTGAATCTGGTTTACAATTGCTCAACGAATTTCTGTACTGGGACTCCGAAAAGCGGCCTAGCGCTCAACAAGCATTGAAATATACGTTTTTTCAAATAACTAAACGTGGATCGACAGATGCGATTCACGTTCCAACAATATTATTAGCAAAGCATCAGCAGCAGCAGCAGCTATTTGGCCGAAATCAAAACTATATTGACGATCACATATCATCGTTGAATGACGCCGAACGCTATTCAAAAGACAGCGATACTTCGTATAGATACATTGATCAATATAATACACATTATCGGCATGCAAACGGCATAAAACCACCGATGAATAATGTAAACAATAAAAGTGCGGAACTATCACCGAAACGAAATAAACCTGAAAATGGTACAAATGTTGACCAAAACTATTTTAATTCATCATTAAATAATAATAATTATCAGACAAAAGTGCTAACAGACACCGTAGGTAGTAATCGTCAAAATCCGTTTACAAGCAATACAAGTGATACGGGCTTTTCATCTATAATAACAACACGAAATTCGGAAAACTCATCAATAGCTCAACCAAATCATAATGACACGACTCTATTGAATGGTTCGACATTTAATTATACAAAAAATAATGAAAATCGCCTCAAAGACCATATGAATGACGGAACTCAACGTCGAAACAGCCGAAATATTGACCAAAATACATATCTCAGTGAGAAAATCAGTGATATTTATGTAAATCGAAATATTGGCAAACTGTACGATAATGTGGTGCGAGGCAGTATATACAATAACAAATTGTATAATGGAGGTGATGATGAAAATGAGGAGAACAGCAGGCGGCCTCAAGATTTCATCTATAAAAACAAGACATTCTTCTTGCATGACAACAATTCGAATAATTTTAATGGAATTCAAGATTCCAAAATTTATAATATATTTTCAAAACAACAACAGCAACAACGAATTGTTCAGCAAAAAATGTCAGACCCAAAGGAAGATGACGAAGAAAATAGCTATTTGTTGGTGAAAATGACAGATAGCGCGAAAAAATCACAACGAAAAAGTATCAGCATTATCAGAGATCAGGAAATATTTGAAGACAAGGAACTTGATAAATTGTTGGGGTATGTTTCCTGTTTTTTTGTTCATTTCCGTTTTTATCACCATTTTCAAAGCATAATTGTGTATGTTGTTTGTATTATTGCAGTACCAAAGTGAGATCATCCAAACCTCGAACAGATTCCCTGGCCACGTTACACTTAGAGGATTTATTTGGTCCGATTTCAATAAATAGCCGAGAAAATTCCACAAAATTTTATCCAAATACTGTTCCGCAACCGAAAATGTCGTCGATGAAAACATTTGGATCGAAAAACGATGACTTATATGAAGACAAAATCAAACTTACCGCTTTTTCTTCCGCACATGTAGGCAAGAATCGTAGAAGATCCTTAAGAGACCACGAATCCGATACCACTAAAATGTAAGTGGATGAGGATTTTTTTTTTCAAAAACCGCATCAAATTCATTTTGAGCAATTTTGAATAGGAATGGAAATTTCATAAATGGTTCGATGAACGGAAATACATGGCATGAATCGAAAAGTATGGATCGAATTCACGCATGGCTAGCGGATAAAGGTAAGAATACTATTTCGCAACACCTTTCGCTTAATGTCCAGAATATTTAATGCTATCATAGTTTCTGGAGAAGGATCCGTTGGCTCAAGATTCGACGCTTCAATTTAAAATTCTTATTCGCTTCAATTTTATTTGCATCACTTTGGGAATTTTCTTAAATTGAATGTACGTTTCTTAACTTCCGAGCTGCGGAAAATAGGGAAAATTTCACATTTTTAAAAATATGTTTTTGTTTTCTTTTCTTTTCTCTTTTAAAGATCTATTTTCAGTACATCAAAAAACCAAGGAAACATTCTAAACGATACCTGGAAATAGATTGACATAGTTAAGTTTAGTTAACCATTATACTTGAAATTGCAACATTTTGAATATACTCTCACAATTGTTGTTAATGAAATAAATTTAATTAATTTTATGTGAAAACGAAATGTTTTTTTTATTCTTAGATAAAAATAAACAGATTTTTTTTAAAAACAAGAAACGCACGTGTTGTGTTCAAATAAGTGATAATATTATTGTATTTATGATTATTTTTTTGCCTTGAGACTTTCCAAATATAATTCCAAGCCTCTTTGTACTTTTGGACTGTTGACAAAACCCAAAAAATTCTGAAGGTCTGCTTCACGATTATTCTCTAGGTCGGCAATAGCCTTTCCGCGACAATTCCGCTTGGTCATTGCTCTTGCTTCAACGGAAATTTTGGCAAATTGCAGTAGAAACTGTTCACAGCGTTTAATTGCATCCTGCTTATCGCTGGCCACTTCATCAATGAGGCCTACTTTTAATGCTTCATCAGTTGAGAACATTGTGCCCAAGGTCAATGCTTTCTCTGTATCTCGCACCGACATAACATTTTGCATGGAAGCCTGAATGGTAAGAAAGTGTTTGTTAATAATTAATCGTGCCGAAATGTCAGGTTATAAATCAGCAATGAATGCAATGAAAGTACTTAGTATTTTTTGTTAGCAAATCAATGATTAATATAGGTCACGGTGATTTGCGATCAAAACGATGCACTACTTTCATATCAGATTATTCAATTTGTTGTTGTATAAAAGGTAATCCATTTCTTACCTGAAACCATGTTGGCGCAACTATACCTAAGCGTGTTTCATTCAAACCGATAGTCAGCTTCGGGGCCATAACACGATATTCACAACTCAACGCCAATAAACATCCGCCAGCCGGAGAATGACCCTTTAATAAAAATTAATTCCATTGATTAGTTTGAATGTAAGAGCGCGAACAGCGTCAAAGCTACTTACGTTAATGGCAGCAGCTGTTGGATAGACTGAGCCATATAACTTGAGCCAAACTTCTTGTACAGTTGTCCAAAAGAGTTTCACTCTTTCTGGATCAGGTTTGTACATTTCCAATATATCCAATCCGGCAGAGAATACAGTGGGCGATGACTAAAATGTTGGAATAATATTAATAGCGTATTCTTATTTTTGATCAATATTTATCAACAAAGAAGGAGGTCGAGTACAAACCGATGTTAAAATTAATCCTCGTGACTTATTTTTGGTCAGGTCAGACAATGTGGTGGACAACTCTTGCAGCAGTGGTGTATTCAAACTATTCACCGGTGGTCGATTCATTTCTACCGTTGCAATACCCGTCTTATCATCAACCGCTACATTAACATATTTCAGTTTTGACGCTGACATTGAAATGCATCGCATCGACAGTACTTGAACGCATTGCTTTAATGACAGCATATTTTTCTGAAAAAAATTTCAAACAAGTGAATATGACAAATCTCTGATATTATCCTATTGAAAGTTCAAAGTATTGAAAATGATTGGACTTTGCACCTTGATGCAAACAAATACAGCTGATTTCACCTTGATTTGGTTGAACTTTAAAAATGATTGAAAAAAACTAGCTTGATTTAACTCTCACTTCAAGGTGAATGAATATTTTTAAAAAATGACTATCATTTACTGCAAATATTTCGCACAAAATTTTTACACCGACTGATTAGTGCTTATACACGGTATTTTCTTATAGATTTCTCTGTGTTTTGAATTGCATTCCAGTTTATCTTGCCATTTTGACAGAGTGCGAGGGAGACACTTGTCGCATCAATTGCAGGGTCGTGCAACTTTGTTCTGTTGATAACTTCACACAATAAATACAATTTACTAAGTAGAAAGAGAGAAGAAAAGAAATTTTTTTGGTACAGAAGCAGAGTTGTACGCATCCGAAGAATATATCATTATCAAATCTGTCAACTAATGGAGTAATTTGTAGGTAAAAGTGTTTATTTCAATTATAAAAATAGTGTGTTTGTGCTATATTATCGAAATCGGACCAAATATCGCTTCGGATCACGTAGATCGTACTCACTGTCAACCATCGATCCAATTCCATCAATCAACAACAAGAACAAACACCACCACGACCATTACCAAAATCATCATCGCATCAGGTAATTAGTAACATTCATTGTTTTGTTCATTTTTTGTTAGGAATAGAACCAAAAAAGACAATTCTTTGAAAAATCAATTTGAACGAATGATAAAAAGAGGCGCATCAAGCATAGGTTTATGGCTTTACAATCCCTGATGCCCTTAAAAATGGTTGGCTTTTTTCTCGTTTTAACTTTGCATTTGTTTCGTCGTTGAGGTGATTAACGCTTGTGTGCATATTTATGTTTTTTATTTTCGACAAAATAGCAAATAGAATGGTATAATATTTTTGTGATACGAACAAATAACTATATTTGACCAGAAAGAGACGAAAGTATGTGCGACCAGAATTCGTGTCGATGTTCACGACACACTAGAATATATTATATTTTCTGTCTCGTCATTACGATTTGTTGTCACAAAATTGTCTCATCGGTCCATTTCTCTCACTCGCACGCTTCCTCTAATTTATTTCTTCGGCTGCTTATGCATCGATTTTATAAAATATGCAAAATTGTGATTTTTTTGCTATTTATTATCATCAGCAGTAATAATCAGGATTCATTTCGCAATGCTATATTTTTCATAAAATAAATCTGGAGATGTTGATTGTGTTTTGTCGTGACATAAAAAAAAGTTATAACTGCATATTGTTTGCATTGACAGAACGATTTAATCACTGATTTCGTCTCTTTCTCTTTCTCTCGTTCTGTCATTCTCTCATTTTTCTCGCTTTTTTTGTGTCGGGCAACACCAAATTCTGTCAAATGTATTTGTATAAAATAAGCTAAATAATATTTAGTATATGTCAGATTACAAACAGCTCCTAATGTGTATCAATGTTGTATTTGAGTAGAGCATCCTTCGAGATTTTAACATTCATTTGTGCACACCTTAAGAAGTCTTAATGGAACGAGTTAACGAAGCTGGCAACGGTACTCCGGCCAATGTAGAAATTATTCGTGGTCAGGCATTTGAAGTTGGACCAAGATATCATACTTTAACATACATTGGAGAAGGTGCCTATGGAATGGTAAGTGTATCTCGGGGTGGTGGTGTAACGGACGTTGTTTCTTTTTTCAATTTTTTTTTTTTTAATTGTATGATTTCGTTTAAAGGTAGTATCTGCGTTTGATGAAGTGACAAAAACAAAAGTGGCCATTAAGAAGATATCTCCGTTTGAGCATCAAACATATTGTCAGCGAACATTACGAGAAATTAAAATCTTAACTCGTTTTAGACATGAAAATGTAATTTAAATCTCGACCATTTCAGTGTGTATGTGTGGGTTGTCTAACGTTTGATTTTTCAATTGGATAGATTATAGATATTAGAGATATTTTACGCGTGGACAGTATAGAGCAAATGAAGGATGTGTACATCGTGCAGGCTCTCATGGAAACGGATTTATATAAACTGTTGAAAACACAGCGACTCAGCAATGACCATATATGTTACTTCCTCTATCAAATTTTGCGTGGACTAAAGTACATACATTCGGCAAATGTATTGCATCGAGACTTGAAACCGAGCAATTTATTGTTAAACACAACTTGTGATTTAAAGGTAGGTTATCAGATATCGAAATGAATGAATTTGATTGTTTGCTTCCGATAAGATATAATGGAGAGATTTTTGAATACAAATTCATTATATTTTACCGAAGTCGTTAAACAACAGTCATAACAAGCTCAAATATTTACAGACATACTTTTAAAAATGACATTGTCATTGTTCTCCACTCAATCTGATTCCAATTTCTTTCGATGTTTATTTTCAGATTTGTGATTTTGGTTTGGCTCGTGTTGCAGATCCCGATCATGATCACACTGGTTTTCTCACCGAATATGTCGCGACCAGATGGTATCGGGCACCCGAGATTATGTTGAATTCGAAGGTAAGCTTGTTTCAATTCCGTATGCGTTGCGTTACGGAACTTCCGCATATTCAATGAAATAAGGTTTTCACTTTACTCTGAGATGGAGAGAGTATAGAGAGACAAAGGTGATTTATGTCATTAAAAATTCATTTTCTTTTACTTTCAAATAGGGTTACACAAAGTCAATTGATATTTGGAGCGTTGGCTGCATCTTAGCTGAGATGCTAAGCAATCGACCGATTTTCCCAGGAAAGCATTATTTGGATCAGTTGAATCACATTTTGGGTGTTTTGGGCTCCCCATCAGCAGAAGATTTGGAATGTATTATAAATGAAAAAGTGAGCATTTAAATTGATTGAAATCTAAAAGACGATCTTTATTCATGTAAACTTGATTTCTTTTTTGTCATCACAGGCCCGAAGCTACCTCCAGTCATTGCCATATAAGCCAAAAGTACCATGGACAAAACTATTCCCGAATGCCGATCAGAAAGCACTCAATTTACTTGACCGAATGCTGACGTTCAATCCACACAATCGAATTACGGTTGAAGAGGCATTGGCCCATCCATATTTGGAACAATACTATGATCCAGGAGATGAGGTAAGTCTCTTTGATTGAACACAAAATCAATCCAATTGAGATTTAATTGAAATGAATGCATTTTTACAGCCTGTTGCTGACAGCCCATTCAGACTAGATATGGAGTTAGATGATTTACCACGCGATGAATTGAAACGATTGATTTTCGAGGAGACAATGCGTTTCTTACATCCACAAGATAATGCAGCAGCCATGTAAACTCGATAAATTAAATACGTCATATTCCTTCTAATAACATTTGAAAACTGTCTAATATGTGTTATCTTCGTTCATTTTTCTCTTCAATGGGCAAATGACTCAATCCATAAACGAAATGAGGTATGAACAACTCACAGACAAATGATATACAATATTCTTTTTAAAAAAACTTATTACACATGAAATAATGGTACATATGTACATGGTATACTCAGCAAAAATCAAACATATTTTATACATTGCATACGGTTCGAAAATTATTGAACATAATTAATTGACCGAGCTGTATTGAATGCGCAATTATAATTTTTCACGCACACAAAACAACACACAATTCATAGAATGAGAAAGCAACAAAAATATGCCATAAAACTACTACGTATGTTGAATTCAAGTTTTTTTTTGTTTCGTTCTCTGTAGATGTGTTGTTTATGACAAAAATTCGTGCAATTGAGCATCCAAAAATAATTCAATCAATAAATCATGAACATGATTCATAGAGACATGTGCTTAATATTTGCACAAAGTAGAATTAAAGTTCGAAAAATGATCGGCGAGAGATGTTTCAATAAACATGATCTTGCTTGTCTGTGTAAATCGTAAAATGTACGAAATGTGTTTGATTTTTGTACTACTTTACTGCATATATGCTAAATATGATGTTTTTTTAAGTACAATATATCTATTTTTATGTGTGAGTCCATTATTTCCATATTTGTAAAGATAATATTCAAGCAAAAGTGCAACCGAGAGGAACATTTAAAAAAAAAATCAAATTGGAATATTATGACTCTTTGACCTCGAAATGTTACACATTTTTTTCCGATTTTCCGATTATAATTAGTCAACATTAGAGTATTATTATGAAATTTTGTCTTTTAAATCGTTTCAATTTTTATCATATATTATATAGAGCAAGGTGAAACGATTAATATTTTAACAACAACTACTACAAAAGCAACTTACTGAATGACGCGAACATACAAATGCATGCTACATATATTATACATTTTTCAATTAAATTCTTCTTCGATCAAAATTATTGGTAATGTTTTTATTTTTCTTCAAAAAAAAAATGTACTTACTTCGCGTATAAAAAGTATTGTGATTCATCAGAAGTCCGCACTTTTTATTTGAATGGCATTCCTTATTTAGACAAAATCAAAACCGGCTTTTTAATAATTCTATTCAAATTGATATGGAAATATTCAGTTTTCTTTTTGTTCGCTCTAATAAACATTAAAAAATTAGTTAAACGAAAGGAATTGAAATACAGAAATTAAATGTTATATATATATGCTAAATTTATGCAAGAAAACATGTGTAATTGTACTATTTTATGTCAATTGATTTATTAATCAAAGTGCAGGAAACCATTGGTTGTGTGTGTGAATTAACTCACCTTCCATTTTTTTTAATGTGAAATATAATACGATACTCCAGTTATTTCGTTCATTTGAAAGATATATCTGCACCAAACAATGTATTTTTTTTTTCTCGATTATAATATAACTTCCATTATATCAGTCAAAATGTTGTTATTGTGTTGTTTTCCATTTATTTCAATGTACCTATATTTTTATTGATTTTCCCCTGTTATTTGAAACTATCATCTTTGTTTTTATTTTGAAACCAGCTACTGATTTTGCATGAAGCGATATCATTTTTTAAAAGATCCAAGCACCATTTCTTCTGTAGTGTTATTTATTTCGATACAAACGCACAAATCGATTATTATGCTAAGTTTTCTCCTTTTCATTTTCGATGTTTACATAGTTATTTTATATTTTTGGCGATAAACTTGGCCAAATGACCTTTTTACCCCCAAAACCATTTATTTGGGAATAAAAAGGCGATTTTTACATCTCAGTGTTTATTCCCAACATAAAATTACGGTAAAAAGAAAATACTTAACCAATTCTCTTGTGGTGAATTGAAAACTCTCTAGAGACTGAAATAGAAATATCAAATGTAGTAGAAAAATTCTCGACTTCCAATGAAAAATAAACACGGATTTAATGGGATTAAAGCTGAAAGTTGACATGTTTTTTCTCTTTCCATCTTTTGAGTTTTCTCTTCATTTTCTCTTTTATTTGTCCTTTCTTTAGTGGAAATTATATCATATCATTTTTGATTACATGTATTTTGGCAATGTAACATAGACTGATGTACAGTCAGCAGTAAATTAAATTGTTTAATTTTGAATGTCTGAATGTTTTGAAAAAATATTCTCTAGAAAATATTGTTTAACCAATTTTCACAATCGTTATGCACTGATAAAAAGTCACACAAAATATAAATAGTTTAGGTTAAGAAATTGAATGGAAAAAAAATGTTTGACAAGCGGCGCGCTAAATTGAATTAGATGAATGATATATGGTACTGTTCTCTGAACTCTGATGCGACAAAGTACTTCTACGTAATGCACAGGCAGTCATGAAATGAGAAAACTGAAGAATTATAGATAAAGAGAACAGAATCCAAAGAGGTTAGTGAGCAGCGCAAATTGTTGTCGACTTTTGCATTTAAGGCAAGCGTGCTAAGTGATTTCACAAATGTTTGTTTGTTTCGTTGAGTGGTTTAAAATGCAAATGCACAAATTTAAATTCCAATCATAAAAAAGTATTTTAAATGTGCAGTAATGTTTATTTTTCTTCTTTTTTGAATAAATGTGTCTAATCTTTAAATTTTACATTGGAACAAAAAAAAGTATAAACAGTGCCGGTGTTGCGAAGCATTCAAAACAATTTCCATTCAAAATACAGAACTTTTCTTCCTAAATCGATAAAAAAAGTGAAGGAATCCAAGCTTTATGTTTTGAATGTTTCGTCGAATAGCACCGAACATAATTCTAAGGTTATTTTTACAGTTGAAAACTGTTATTTAGTGGTGTAAAAATGATGTTATTGAGCGAAAAATTTGAATTATACAAACATATGCGTCCCATCTAAATATGTATCCGTATTCAATGCAATCTATGACTGAATTATTTCGATACGATGCATATTTGTGTAAAATTCGCCTTTGTTATTTAGAAATGCTCGCTGGCTAAAAATCATTGGACTAAAAATAATTTTTGGAAACATATACTCATTTTCTGTGCCAGAAGAAATAATTTACATTTACATTGGTCGTTTCGCTATATCTAAATGTTTTGCAAAAACACATATTGTATCTAAATAAATACGCCTGTATATGCGACCCGCTCACCATTTTCTGTTCAATAGTTGCTATGCAATACAACGGACGCAGACATAACGGATTATTTTTCCATTATATTTGCCGAAGGCAAACACATTACAAACAGTTGGTGCATAACAAGTCTTGAACAGCTTATGTTGGTCAGAGAGCAAAAGTTCTAATTGGCTAAAACTTTAATTTTTCAATGTTATGACCTTATAAACATCAATGTGCGGGGTTGGGCAATTGATTGAAGGGAAAAACGCTACTTCTTATTTAAGTTACGCCTTTCACTATTCTAATGTAATGTTTGAGCATATTTTACGCAGTCAATTTTGGAAACTATCTAAACATCGAATCAATATGATACCTGTTGCTTTCCTCATTACAGTTCAAGACATTTGACGTCATGCTGGTGCAAAATATCTATTTTTGGAGCATGTAAAATGCCATTTTACTTTTGTGTATTGATTTTATGGGTATTTTTGAAATTATATTTTTCCTCTATTCTGTGTTCGGCATTCTGTTTGACACTCACAATAGGATAATAATCAATGTATCATAGCAATTGCCCCACCCTGTTCACTTGTTTGTCTTTTTTCATTCAATTCAATGTAGGTTTCAAAGGAAAATTTTGATGGAAATTATAAACGATGAAATATTTTTTGAACTATATCTAACTATACAGGAATTATTGTAATTAAATGTGGTTCTCTTTTAAATTCAATTCACTATCGAAACAAAACAAAATAAAAAATTCCAAGGAATTGAGCTTTTATCGTCATTTATTATAAAAAACAATGAAAAAATTGCTACAGATCTGTAATTTAATTTATATTAGCTATAAATTTCAAAAAGAAAATTAAACGTTTGAAAGTAATTTTGGGAAATTTAAGAGTTGATTATAAATATTCGATATAATTATCGATTTGCCACTTGAACAACTTATGTGTATTTATTTTTTATTGTATCAAGATAAATATTTCAATCAAATTTTTACTCTACATCTTTTTTTTCGTGAAATAAATTCACAGGTTTTTAATATTAATAATTCAAAAAAAAAAAAATTTACAAATCTATTCTAAAACAAAAAACAATTTAAATTGTTAGTATAACCGCCATATCGTGTTGGCATTTATGGGCAAGGAAAATCAACAAATGGCATAACATAATATAGTTTTGATCTTTGTTATATATGTGTAAATGAAATTGAAAAATAAAAATTTAATTTAATGTGTTATCACATACAAAAAAAAATCATTGTTTTTCATTCATTCGAATCACCAAACATGATTCAATGTACAGGCTTGACGTTTTGTGCAACCCTGCGCTTAGCTGTCAAAAAATTACAATTTCTTCTTCTGTGAATTTTTACTTTATTTAACCACATTTACATTGTTCGACGACAGAATTGTTCGGTGAATCACTTTGGAAGCAGTTCAACTCGTTTTTTTTTTCACGTGTGATAATAAAATTCGGTCGTTTATCTTCTAGTCACTGGGTCAAAGACGATAAACTCAAAAAGAATTTTTACGAAACATTTTTTTCATCTGAAAAATACTAGTGAAAATCGTTCGTTTGACATGAGTTTAGTAACCTGTGTAATGGACACGTAATATTTGATAATTCACGAAAATCCTTTGTAGCATTGACTTCGTTAAGTTTCGTTGGCAAAAAACATAAAGCAACAAAATGTTTTCGCACAAGTGCTTGTATATTATAAAAAAATGGTGGATTTTGTTTTTGTGTGTAAACACAACTTATGCGTTTTATTTACCTGGACTTGCACCCGTCAACTTTTGCCGAGAATCTGAGGCGTCACCACAATGCAAAGTAAGCAAGAAAATTCATGATTATCCCTGCCTTGTGTAGTTACAATTCATTGAAGATTGTGCGAATTTTGAGATAAGAATCGAATCGTAACATTTACATTACATTTTATTGCCAACTATTAACCAACTAGTAACCAAATTCCATCGAGTCATTACCATTTTATAGCTGTATTGTTTGTTATCATTTCTATGACGAAATGAAAAAACCAACGTTTGTTAACACGTATGCATATTTTGTTATTAGAATTAGAGCATCTTATAAAAAAATACTAATACTAATTTTACTCAAACAATTTTATTTTTGGCGAATTTGTTCGAAAATAAAATTCGTATAAATACACATTTGTTTACTTATACGTAAAATGGGAACACTCAAAAACATTCATCAATGGATCAAACCGTTATTCTCAAAGTAGACTAAACAGTTTTATTTTATTAAATATTTATTTTGTACATAGATGATTGATATAGCTGGTAATATACAGTGGTTTATTTGTCATTAATTTATAAATTTTGTTTGAATTTTTAACAGTCAGATGTCACGCTTTATGTAAATCGATTAAATACCGAAGAGTCTGTCATACCGTATGAATATCATCATTTTGATTTTTGTCCAATCAATGAAGAGAATTCCCCAGTCGAAAATTTGGGCCAAGTGGTATTCGGGGAACGTATTCGACCGGGACCGTATAAAATTGAATTCTTAAAAGAAATCACTTGTGCAAAGGTATTTATTGAAATCATTTTGCCTAAACTATAACAATGAAGTGGCTCAACAGGTCATAAAAGGTATTTTTGTTTTTAATGTAATACATTTTCTTTCGCTTAAACCAAATAACAGGTGTGTACTCGAACATATTTGAAGGGAGATGCAGAAAGTGAAAGACGCTTGGATACATTGAAAAAGGGAATGAGCTTGAATTATCAGCATCATTGGATTGTTGACAATATGCCTGTAACGTGGTGCTATCCATTGGAAAATAAAAAGAAATATTGCAGCACTGGTTTTCCAATGGGCTGTTACTTCCGTCCGTTTCTTGACGGATGCCCAATCAATACCAAATATAATAAGCCTGGTTTTTACTATCCATTTAATCATGTTACGCTCACCATTACCTACCACAGTGGTTTGACTGAAGAATGGGGTGTAGGATTTGGTGCGAATGGCGGTCGAATTATTTCAGTTAAAGTAGAACCAGCTTCGATTAACCATCGCAATCCAGACAAATTAGATTGTAGTCAATCTGCTGAACCATTAGCTATACCACCAAAGACTGACAACCAAAATTTGAACATTACATACACATATTCGGTGAAATTCGTCCAAGACGATTCAGTGAAATGGTCCTCACGTTGGGATTACATTCTTGAATCAATGCCACACACAAGCATTCAATGGTTTTCAATTTTAAATTCATTGGTTATTGTTCTGTTTTTGTCCGGAATGGTGGCAATGATTATGTTGCGAACGCTACACAAAGATATTGCAAGATATAATCAAATGGATTGTGGTGAAGATGCACAAGAAGAATTTGGATGGAAATTGGTGCATGGTGACGTTTTTCGTCCACCGAGAAAGGGAATGTTGCTGTCCGTTTTCTTGGGATCGGGCGCTCAGGTGTTTTGTATGACTTTGGTGACACTAGCATTCGCCTGTCTTGGTTTTCTCAGTCCTGCGAACAGAGGCGCACTCATGACATGTAAGAGATTTTTTTTTTAAATTAGAAATCACTTTCGACGAATAGTTTGTGACACAAATTCATCATATTTCTTCTTTTTCGCATTGTAGGTGCTATGATTCTATTCGTGTTGCTTGGCACTCCGGCTGGTTATATATCAGCAAGAATTTACAAGAGTTTTGGCGGTATTAAATGGAAGAGCAATGTTATGTTGACTTCAACCGTATGTCCCGGGTAAGAAAGAGCGATTTCGAATGTTAACAAACCTTAACGAAGTTTTATTCAAATTTATTCTACATTTTTACCAATAGCATTGTGTTTGGACTGTTTTTCGTCATGAATTTGGTGTTGTGGAGTAAAGGAAGCTCTGGCGCCGTTCCCTTCAGTACATTAATTGCATTGTTGGCTTTGTGGTTCTGTGTATCAGTGCCATTAACATTTGTGGGTGCCTATCTTGGATTCAGAAAGAGACCATTGGAACATCCGGTTCGAACAAATCAAATTCCACGACAAATTCCAGATCAATCAATTTACACTCAACCAGTACCGGGCATATGTATGGGCGGTGTTTTGCCATTCGGATGTATTTTCATTCAGCTGTTCTTCATTTTGAATTCGCTATGGTCAAGTCAAATGTATTACATGTTCGGATTTTTATTCCTTGTTTTCTGGATTCTTGTGATAACATGCTCGGAAACAACCATCCTTTTGTGTTATTTCCACTTATGTGCCGAAGACTATCATTGGTGGTGGCGTTCATTTTTGACATCTGGCTGTACAGCGTTCTATCTCTTCGTATATTGTTGCCATTATTTTGCCACAAAACTAGCTATCGAAGATACTGCATCAACATTTTTGTACTTTGGTTACACATTAATTATGGTGTTTTTATTCTTTTTGATGACCGGAACAATCGGTTTCATTGCCTGTTTCTGGTTCATTCGAAAAATCTACAGCGTTGTAAAAGTGGATTAAAAACAATGCAACATTTTCGTTTGTTTCAGTAAATTAAACGGAAACTCGAACATAATTGTCAAGAGACTCGTATTTAAAGAAAAAAAAACAATACATGATGATATGTGAATAATAAGAAACATAGAAGTAGAACTTTTTTTGTCGACATCCAATTCGAATTACATACATTTCCCTTTTGATATAATATTAAATTCTATTGATTTAAATCTAAAAACACACCGATTCTACGTCCAGCCTTCACATAAAGATCAAATATTTATTAAAAATAGTGTGATTGAAGCGAATATGGTAAAATATAATGCCATTTAAATAAAGAAAAGCTAAAATTCTATTGCTTTTCAACGCAAAATTATTGTCCAATTTTTGTGTGTATTAAAATCAATATGCAATAACTCATTGTAATTCATGTGGAATCATTTTACTGAATTTCGCCATTTAAAATACACAAAAAAGAATGTCGCGGCACCACATTGGCATCGGTTGAAGCCTACTTCTACAGTCATGTGCCACCAAATTTACACGAATCGTTTCATACACATAAAATACAAACATTTTGGACAATTCGGCCACTTAAAAATGACAAATTTCTTAATGTTTTCGACAAAAAAAAAGAAAATTAGTAAAAAAAAGTGTAATATTTCATGATTATCTGTGAGTGCGTCATTCGAATTGAAGATAACGATATTAGTGATAAAGGTCGTAACATTAATCTATGTATTAAACATTTTAATAAATAATCTTATCTATGTAAAACAAAAGCAGCTGCCATTTTTATATTATCATTCGTCAATTCTTCATTTTTTTTAAATAAATCGAAAGTGTTTTTTATTTGATTTTTCCTAGATTTAATAGGTCTCAGGCGTTCAATTGACTTCAATTTCGTTCAATTCCAAAAAATTGGTACGTTTGACCCATTCACTTATCTTGTAATCATCATTGCATCACATTTAAACGTCTCTTGTCTTTGTCATGCCTATTGACGACTATCAATCAATGACAGAGTCCAGAATCCAGACCTATAACTATACTTACAAGACCATATCGACATTCCTGTGAAATATAGCATTTCTGCTGTGAATAATTTGAAAAGAAAAGACAAATGTTTCAGTTGTGATTTTTCTCATTTCTTTTATTTGATTTTATTGATGTTTTCAATTTTATTTTACAATCTTTTTAACCAGTAGCTAATTTTTAGACAACTGAAAAAAATTACAAATTTTGAGTTTGTAGTACAAACTTCCCTTTGTACTTTAAAAGAAATATTTGCTTACTTTTAATTTGTTGATGTATGTATTGGATTAAACCGAAATAAATAACGTAATAAAAGAATCCTTGATCAATTGGAATAAATAACAAAAAAAAATGTTTGGAAAGAAACCTAGACTTGTTTTTAAATTGAATTTTTTTCCATGTGTCTATTTTTTTATCAATTGGAATTCAGCATACACGTTTGGGCAATATATGGTAACATTTCAATTATTCCAGCCTCTCTTTCAAACACATCAAGACACGTTGTGTTTGAATGAAGTTATGAATAATAATGCCCGTGCATATCATTTAAACAAAAAAAAAAAGACAATCGTCAGATTCGCGTATGTAAAAAGGTTTTTTCTCGGGCTTCTTTGTTGTGTGTGTGTGGTGTTGTTCTTAGTTTTATTCATAAATAATTAAAAGAAAATTCAGCTGAACGGAAATGATCGGATTTGATTTCAAATTTTCCATTTCCATGAACTCATCGTTGGATTCTTATGTTTATTACATGTCATTTTTTGTATCGGTGCTGCTTTGTAATCAATTAATTATTAAATTCTTAAATTAATTGCATTTTTTTTTTGTTGAATATACATTTTTTTTCTCGAAAATTTCGCTTTTTAAGGTTAGATTTGTAACTTTGATTTACTGTTTAAACAGATTGAAACGATTCATCTATCATTTAATAAGAATAAAAGAAAGACAAGTTACAAATAAAAACAGAACAATAAATAAAACAAAAAAAAAACCGAAAAGATTGTTCTAAGAAATTAAAAACAAAAAAATGTTGTTTTCAACGAAGTTGGCTAATTTATCGCAAACAATTGAATCGTAGCAATGAAATAAAATGAAAATTTGGCACAGGTATTGAATACAAAATTTAATTATAATATTACTTGTTGGGTGAAACTATTAAAGAAACTAAAGGGTGCCAGTATAATGTGATCGGCAAATTAAAATAGAGCATTCAATTTTGAAGAGGGGGAAAAGAGAGAGTTACCATTTTAAATTTCTTATATACAATTCGGTACAACTTCTTACTGATTAAATTACACTCTTCATTATTCTATCCTATTGAAAACTATGACATGCTTTCAGGGTCCGCTTTATCTAATTTGTTCTTCTTGGTTTGATAGCATTTTCAAGATAAGTTTTTCATTTTTTTTAAGTAGAATATTTTATCAGCATGGACACTGATGACATGAACATTATAAATTTTTTTAGTTGTGAATGAAACATATTCTAACTGCGTTAAAGTTATATGGATATCCTATGTGATGAAGTTTAGAAATTTTCCTTGGATCTGGTTGTGAAAATTGGATACAGGTGAAAATTATTTGATATTTTATGAACATTCTGGTTTTTGTTGGGATTTTTGCCGAAAATAATTTGCCGTAATTTTCATCAATTTACGATTTGGATTTGTTAAAAATGTGTTCGGTGCGATGCCATCAGTTATCAGTTTAACTCATAATATTTTAAAATATATCACAAACAAAAGAAGATTTTATTGCGATGTTTGTAATATATGATGTGTGTGTGTTTTTTAAACTATACTTTGTGAAAATGTGATTAAATTTAATCGATTTGGTAAAATGTGATTTTTTAAAATAAATATTTTTTTCTTAATTTTTGAAACTCTTGCAATGTGAGAAAATAATTAAAACGAAGAACAAGAACAAGTATTCGTGTATGGAATACATTTTTAATGTCAGAGATTTGCTAGATTTGAATTTTATTTCGAAAGATCCGCGAGATTAGATACATCATTATTTGGGTGACGTAACCGATTATTTTCATATCGAATTCATTACTGATTAAAATAAACAAATAATTGCATTGAAAATTGTCCTATTTACTCACATAT